GCCAAGCCCGTTTTTCCTGAAATCCTGAAACTCTTCTAGTCAGATTCTTTCATTGACATTTAATTATAAACTGCCTTGTCTTTAATTTGTCTTTAAAATGGCTAACCTTCTAGATGGCAGGGTCCAGCCTGAGTCCTCCTGGTGCCAACTACTTTTCTCTGCTCAGAGCAGGTCTTCAGCATTTGTTAAAGGAATGTTGAAATGCAGCACGTTATCTTCCACTACTGAGCCAAATAGAGGAGCTTATCCTCTGAAACCTGTATAACAGCCAATTCAGCAACATCTGAATTCACGTTTTTAAGTGATTGGGTATGGAATTAGTCCTATTTCTAAATCCCCAGTGGTAAGCAGAGATAAACTTGGGCTTTATTGTATCAGCCCCTTAAAAAGACTCCCTCTCCACCTCCCTCTGAAGAGATGAATGCAAATAGGGCACCATAAACTGGATGTTAATTACCGGCAAATCCTCCTGGGCATAGACTGGCCACAAAGGTAAAGACTTTCTTATCTGCCTAATAACACCAGGTCTGTGGCCCTGCAGAATTTACTTCCCAAGGGGAGCCATTTAGGGGGAAAGCCAATTGGTTTGGGCAGGGTGTTTGCTGCTGTCATGATGTTGCATCTGGACCCACTGTTCATTTAGGAGGTTTTAATAGACTAGTGAGATTGTGCTGAAGCAGCCCACCACCTATAAAACTCTCTGCAGCAGCAGAGTGAGATAGGCAATAAACCTTGTCGGGCACCCACCGACTGCCACTGAGTCAATTCCAACTCCTAACGACCCTATAGGACAGAGCAGAACTGCCCTATAGGGTTTCCAAGGCTGTAATCTTTATGGAAGCAGACTGCCACATCTTTCTCCTGAGGAGCGACTGGTGTGTTCGAACTGCCAACCTTTTGGTTAGCAGTCAAGCGCTGAACCACTGTGCCACTCCTTTGTGGGACACAGTTGGAGCCTTAGAAACGAACTAGGAGTGAAATGATCCTGGACCAGCCCCAGAGAAACTTGCACCCAGAGAAGTCTTGTTGCTGTTGTGCTGCAGGCAGCAAGGATCTTTCCAAACTGGCTGCTCCATTCCTTGAGCTTCTAAATAGGGTACTTACAAGAAGCCAGTTGGCTAGATGTGACCACAGACACATTTTGCTTGGCCTGCAGAGTGTGTGTGTGTGTGTGTGTGTGTGTGTGTGTGTGTTTTAACATTTGAATTAGTTGCCAACACTTAAAATTTAGGGAAATTTTGTACAATAATCTGGATTCCTGGTTTCTCTTTAAAACAGAGGATCTGGACATGCTGGGCCCTCACTTCCTCAGAAAGCTGATCCTTTAAAGGGGGCACATGCTTCCCACGAGGCAGATGCACTCCTTTTTGTCTCTTGCTAGCCCCTGCTTGGGGTCTGTCACCTAAAACTTTGCAGATTGCAAATTTGGGTGGAAGGGCTTTGGCAACTCCAGGCAGTGTGATGCTTTGGATATGGAGAAGGTGATCCAGGGCTCTGAGAGTCCACAGTACGATAGAGGCCCAGCCAGCAGGCATTGTTCAGTTAATCAAGTCAAACACTGATCTGAACCTTCTGTCACCGAGTGCTCTGGAAGGATGAGCACGGAAAATCCACAGCATCGGCAAATGGGTGCTGCTTTCTGCCTGAGGTGAACTGTAGCTAACATTTACTAAGCAGTTAGTATACTAAACCCCATTTCTGGGATGAAGACATTGAGGCTTAATGCCACTCAGCTAGTGGCAGAACTGGCTGTCTGTCTTCAGAGCCTCTCCTCTTCACTAAGTTACCTGATACTCTACCTCTGTGTTAACAGCTTTCCTAGGGCCTTTCAAATGGTCTGAAATTCAAAACATTTTCACTGGGAGTTCAACACTAGTTTAAAAAAAAAAAAAAAACTTGAAAAAGAATGTTTAAACCACAACAGCAACTCGAAAGATTAGATGGGAAGCTTAGGGGCAGTGAGTTTATGTTATATGGGGGAGGAACTCAGAAAAGGAAGGTAAGAATGGTTGCAAAACTCAAAGAATGTAATCAACATCACTGAATTGTACACGTAGAAACGGTTGAATTGGTGTATGCTTTTGCTGTGTATATTCTCAACAACAAAATAAAATTTAAAAAAAACATTGAAACCATGTAGCACAATTGTGATGAGTTTCTCAAGCAAAAGAAATTATTTTATTTTTCTAATGCACCATGGGATGGTGGATGGAGCAGGTGTGCCACAGGGTCTTTGTTTGCTTTGGGGAGACCTGAGGAGTGAGCTCTGCGGCCAGAATGAGTGAGGGTGAGCAGGCAACAGCCCTCTAAGACTTCTGAGAGGAGCCACTTGTAGACTGCAACTGTGTTCCTCTAAATGAGTTGCAGCTTGGGAAGAAGGGATGGAAATGATCTCAGGTGTGTTTGGAGGATATGCAAATTCACTTTTTACTATTCTTTAATTATAATTTCTCTCCAAGTTTTTCAGAGACATGGAAACTCAGTTCTTCAGCTGGTCCTAAAATTCCTTCCTTTGCTACCCCCTCTTCACACTGACCCCAGCCCACCTAAGTCTAACACCAGCTTTGGGGGATTTGGAAACTGCTGGAGATAAGGTCAGTTGGGAAGTTAGGAGTTCGTGGATGTGGGAAATAAAGGTGTAAAAAGGGGGAAGAAAATTTGGTTTTGCTTTTAAGACACCGGACACCTCCAAGGTTCTGCAAAACCTTTTGCAGCTTTTGCATACAGCCTTAAAGTCATCAGCGCCCCACTGTGGAATTCAAACCTAAGCTTGTCACAATTGTTAACACCTTCTTTGACCAGGCTTTTTATATTTGACAATTATTCTCTCCTGCGCTTCTTTCTTGCCGGCAGTAAAGTTCTGCGGTCTTGGTTTTAGCGAGTACCCTACACACCGAACAGCTCCTTCGAGTGCAGAAGTCCGGGGAAGATTTCTACCGGCCCGCCGGGTTTGCAGGGTGAGTAGGTTTCTAGGCTTAGAAAGCTGGGAGCTGGGGGAGGGGGACCGGACAATTTTGGAAGTCTCTACGGGTAGTCTTGAAAGTTCACAGAGCTTCGGGTTCTAGATTGGGCACAGTGACCGCCACCCACCCACCCCATCCACACCCCACGCAGCTGGGCCCTGCGACGAACGCGGAGCAGCTCAGCCTTCGGCCTTGTTGGGGGAACCCAGTTTCTGAGAGGGCTCAGGGCGCAGAGGTTGCGAGTGTCTGGGATCCGGAGGACACGCATCCACTCGAGCCCCGGAGCCCCCGCCAAGCGCTGGCTGCAGAGCCGAGCTCTGGCTGCAAGGCGCTCCCTCTGACCTAGCCGGGAAGTGGGTGCTCCCTCGCAGCTCTCGGGGGAGCCCTCCCACTCTTCCCAACTTTCCCGGCCCCAGGGCCGGAGGAGGGCGCCTCTCCCGGCTGGGACGTGCTCGGTACTTAAAAGCGGCTCGGCGGGGCCAGCGCTCGTCAGTCGGAGCGCGAGGCGGCGGCAGCGGCGACGCACTGTGCAAGGAGGAGCGGCGGCGAGGGAGTGGGAGGAGGGGCATGGAGCAGCCGCGGGCCTGCTGAGCACCGGAGCGCGGCAGCCAGCAGCACGGTGAGCGCGGGGCTGGAGTGGGTACTTTTGAGGGGCGGGGTGAGTGGGGGCTGCGCTGGGGACCTGGGCGGGCCGGCTCCAGGGCTGCCTCTGGCCCAGCTCCCGGACCCCCATCGACTCCCCCGGCCTCGCGAGCTCCGCGTCCAGTGGAAGAGCAGAGGCGGCTGCGGCATCCCAGGCTTCCCGGTGGCGGATCCTGCAGCCCCCTCTCCACTGACCCCTCCTCCCTTTCTTCCTCCAGCCTCTCCTCCTTTCTTCCCTTCCGGCTCCTGTTTTGTGAATGAATCGGGAGGTGGAGGATGGTATTGGGCACAAGGCTGGTTGGAGTGCCCCCCGCTTGCCTGAGGGCTCGTACTTGTCAGGGCACCAAGGTACCTAGCATCCAGGTTCATGCGGATGAGCCGGACCACGAGTGTCCGGTCCTCGCCGGCCACCACCACACGTGCCCGCAGGACTGGGCTCCCCTTCCTTTGCCGGCTCCGCGGGGCCGGAGGGCGCCCGGGAGCGAAGGAAGGAGCCCTCGCCCAGCGCACAAGTTTCCATCCCTCCGCGTGTGGGCCCCGCAGCGGGCGCACCTGTCAGCAGAAGAGAAGCTGCAAACCAGGCGGCTCCACAAAGTTCCGCGTGCTTCCTTGGCTAGGGGTTTCTCCCTCCGTCGTCCGAGGGCTGACCCTGAGGAGCACCCCCAACCTCATGCCCTTGAGGTTGGCGTTAGCCTGCGTTGGCCAGGCTCCGATGGATTCCTTCTGCGCGAAGCCAGGGCAGAGGGGAGGGAGGCGGTCTAGGCTGCTGGGAGCTCCCTCCGCCGGCTTGGGGTGCACCGCCCGCTGTCTGGACTGGGGCATCTCAGCCAGAGCCTGCACGACAGCGCCTGATTGTACTTGGGGTCTCTGGCTGCGGGACCTTCTTGGGTCCTCTGTGGGGAGGGAGTGCCTGGGCAGTGCCTCCAATTCCTTTAGGGAAAGAAGGGGCCGGCGACATCGGGGATGCTGCCTTTGTCTGTAGGCACACTTTGCCTAGGTAGCTGAGGCCCCAGGGAGGTGAGTAGGGGGGCTGGTCCACCTTGGGTTTTCCGTTCCTTCCCGGCCGGGTCGTGGGAAACCCGCACGTGGGTGTGGCCGGCAACGCCTTCACCAGGACCTGAGGCTCAGGCAGGGAGTGGCGGGTAGAGAAGCGTGGCCAGTGTCTTCTCGGCTGCATTAACCTGGGGGGCACCGCCTCTAGCACTGCACGGAGGCGGGGCGCCAGCGCCTGGCAGGTTGCTGGGCTGGTCTCAGCGCTCCCTGACCCTTCCCAGAGCACAGGCGAGCAGCGGGGCCCACAGCGCCCCCCTCTGCATGTAAGCTCCAGAGCGGAACGAGATGCAGGGCTTGGGGGCCCCTGTGTCGCAAGCTCTTGCAGGGAGGGGGGACCAGGGAGGGCTGGAAGTCCTGCAGAGGAAGCACGCGGTAGGCTCCCCGAGATGGCGGTGCAGAGCGCCCAGAGGCCGAGTTTCCCGGAGAGGCGAGGCTGCCAACAGCTCCTTCCGGACCGAAGCTGCTGGAAGGCTGCGGGTGCCTGAGTCTCAGACTGATTAAGCGGTGACCGCGTCTCTCCCTACTCTTCCCATATTAGAGGGGGCAGGGGAACAGGCCCTGCTCCCATGGCAGGAAGGTGTGTTTGTGTGGGGGGCGAGGGGTCTTTTCAGTGAGACCTGGAATTGGAGCAAGCTTCGAAGTGAGACTTCATTGTATGTAGATGTGGGGGCAGATCAAGTAGGTGGCAAGCAGAGGGGATGGGAGAAAGCCTGGGTCAGAATGGAGAGCTGGGAGCTGTACTCAGCCTGGGGTCCCTCAGCCTTGCCCTTCCCATGGGCTCTGGAGTAAACTACACTCAGTCTGCCCACATGGGTAGCCCTGCACTTCCAGAAGTGCTCCCAGTGTCAGAGAAATGATTTACCTGAGACCTGTGAAGCAAGAAACCATTAGAACCCCCACTGTACTGATGTGGGCACCAAGTCTCAGAAAGAACTTGGGCAACATCAGGCAGCCAGGAGGTGGTAGAGCTATGTCTCAAGCCCAAGTCTTCTGGTGCCAAGTCCTGAGCTCTTGTCATTAAAGCCCAACAGGGCAGGTACTAGGAGCCTGTCTTAGTTGAAAAGGAAAACGTGGCAGCATTTCCAGGAGTGGCTGGGAAGTGGGGTGAGCACAGAGGTTCCCCACGGGCACTATGACCAAGTGGATGGGGCGCCCCACGTGGCTGCCTCTGGGTGGCGGCTGCAGTTCCCCTCCTCTTGTGCCCTTGAGTGCTGGCCTTCCAGGAGGGCGGTCCACAGCCCAGCTCTCATTTCCTTTTTGTTCCCTCTTCTGCTTTTCCCATTTGCTTTCCCTTTCTTTTCCTGTATCTCAAGTGAATGAGGAAAAGGTGAGAAAGCAGAGAACAAAGGGAAACTTTCTCTTACTGAGTTTGCCTGGCACTTCTTTGTCTCCTGCTGTTTATCTTTTACTTCCCCACTTTCTTCATGGGCCTCATTGGTGACTGTGCTTTACTGGCAGATATTCCTCTCCCAGAGCGCAGTCCCCTTGTGAGGACAGGGCAGGTAGAAGCTCTTCGTCCTACTGACTTTTTCTCGCTGCCCTTCCCTCTCCTCCCTACCCTTCCCTCTCCTCCTGGCCGGCCCCTCAGGTGCTCAGAGCTGCCTCTGGCCTCATGGCTCACCCCTACTAAAGCTCACCTATTAAGAGCTTTGGGTCAGGCTCAGGCAGATCAGAGTTCTGCCATCTACCAGTTGGGTGTCACATAAATCTCTTTGGACTTTGGTTTGTCTAACAATAAATGTTATTCTAAGTGTTTTACATACTAAAAAAACCAAACCGAACCAAACCCGTTGCTGTTGAGTCGATTCCGACTCACAGCGACCCTATAGGACAGAGTAGAACTGCCCCATAGAGTTCTCAAGGATTCGAACTGCCGACCTTTTGGTTAGCAGCCGTGGCACTTAACCACTACCCGCCAGGGTTTTACGTATACAACCCATTTAACCCTCAAAGATGTTGTGAGGTTACTACTGCAGTCCACATCTTACAGATGAAGTAACTAGGGGGAGGGGTTAAGAAACCTGAACACAGTCACACAGGATGTGGCAGAGCTGGAATCTGAATCCCAATAGTTTGGCTTCTGAGTCTACAAATAGTCTTAATCATGCTCAATAAATGGTAATCATTTTTATTAGTGGGTTAGTCCCCTGCTATGGGGTCCCCACACCCATTGACTGGAGATGCTGACTCCTGCCTGATCCCACATCTCCCACCTTCCCTGCCAGATGCCGGTGCAGCTAACGACAGCCCTGCGTGTGGTGGGCACCAGCTTGTTTGCCCTAGCAGTGCTGGGTGGCATCCTGGCAGCCTATGTGACGGGCTACCAGTTTATACACACAGAAAAGCACTACCTGTCCTTTGGCCTGTACGGTGCCATCCTGGGCCTGCACCTGCTCATTCAGAGCTTGTTTGCCTTCCTGGAGCACCGACGCATGAGGCGGGCTGGCCGGCCGCTGAAGCTGCCCTCTCTGCCACGCGCCTCGGTGGCACTCTGCATCGCTGCCTACCAGGAGGACCCTGACTACTTGCGCAAGTGCCTGCGCTCGGCTCAGCGCATTGCTTTCCCTAACCTCAAAGTGGTCATGGTGGTGGATGGCAACCGCCAGGAGGACACCTACATGCTGGACATCTTCCATGAGGTGTTGGGTGGCACTGAGCAAGCCGGCTTCTTTGTGTGGCGCAGCAACTTCCATGAGGCAGGTGAGGGTGAGACTGAAGCCAGCCTGCAGGAAGGCATGCACCGTGTGCAGGACGTGGTACGGGCCAGCACTTTCTCATGCATCATGCAGAAGTGGGGAGGCAAGCGCGAGGTCATGTACACAGCCTTCAAGGCTCTTGGTGATTCAGTGGACTACATCCAGGTAAGATGGCCTCCCTAGGGGTGAGTGTGCATGTGGATGTGCCCAGCCAGCCAGGCGTACTCTTCCTCCAGGAATGTTAGGTCCAGTCTAGGCCCCTTGTGTTTGCTGTGCACACCCCTCCGCTGCATTTAAGAAGGCAACAAGGTGAAATGGTTCTGAACAGCAGTCCAGGGGTCAGATCAACCTGGGCTGGAATTCTGGTTGGGCTGTTCCTTAGCTCTGTGACTTTGGACAGGTCTCTGAACCGGTGTCCCAATAATGTAGCTAATGGGTATCTAGTACTTAGGCACTGTTGTAGGCACTTGCTACATATTTGCTCTTTTAGTCCTCATAATACTCCCAGGGGATAAACATCCCCTTACAGAAAGTGAGACTGAAGCGCAGAGAGGCTAAGTAACTTGCCTAATGTCCCACTGCTAGACAGGTTCAGAGCCAGGATTTGAGCCCAGGCAGTCTATCTTGATTGAGTCTGCTGTTATCCATTATGCTATAATGTCTCGCCATTGGCAATGTGGGGATAAGCCTTTTCATACACAAATATGGTGAAGATCAAAAGAGATCCTGCTCAAAAGTGCTCAAAATGTTGTTTTTTATAGTCTTAAGCCAGAGAAGTCCCATTCTCCGGTGTCAGGTTTGTGTATGTGAGGTGGATGGTAGAAACAGGTGTGAATCATCTGCAGGCTTGATTTTGCAGCAGCCTGGGCAGGTGAGCTTCCTTCCCGTCAAAGGGTCATTGACACCAGCCTGGAAATTGTATTAGGCTGACAAGGTTGACACAGCTTCAAATTTCAAATAAAACCTAGAACTGAGAGGGTTAAAGCTCACTCATTTTGTTACTGAGTAGAAACTGAAACCCAGGGCTCCTGATTTCTGGTCCAGAATTCTTCCCAGCATCCACACTGCTTCTGTTCCTTTCTCTGCTGTTCTCTGGGGGGTTTGCCCATCACTTGATAAATGCTTGAATGAACAGTGGATGTTCTGGAAGCTCACCTGTGTACCAACTCAGTCTTGCTGACAGCGTGTTGAGTCCTCCAATATTATTTAAATTTTAAATACTGTGCCCAAGGAGCCCTGGTGGTGCAGTGGTTAAGTGCTTGGCTGCTAACCAAAAGGTCGAGTTTGAACCCACCAGTTGCTCCACAGGAGGAAGATGTGGCAGTCTGCTTCCATAAAGATTACAACCTTGGAAACCCCATGGGGCAGTTCTACTCTGTCCTATAGAGTCACTATGAGTTGGAATTGACTCAACGGCAATAGGTTTGGTTTTTGGTTTATAGTGTACCCACCTCAACTTGCCGCAGATTTTTTTTTTTCTCTTTGAAAGTTGGATCCTCACATGAAAATTGGTGCATTTCTCTTTTTCTGTCTCCTTAGGCCCAAGGACCTCCCCAGCCTTTCGGGAGGGACATGAGGCTTAGAAGGCTGTTGCATTCCACAGTTCACCTAGGGTCGAGGGACTTTTGTGAAACTTTCCTGGGGGCCCACAAGGCTTACAAAAAGCCTTTGAGCCCTGGCACATGCTCAAGCCACAGTGACTTTGTCATCCACTTCACTGAAGCACAGAATCCACCTAAACCTGCTCTGCCACACATCTTCCTTTCCTGATCACTTCCTGAGTGTTTTGTTGGATCACACCTGAGCCATGTCTTTATGGCTCTGGGATCACTGCCTGAAGGCCGCCCTGGGCTAGAGCCAGTGAATGCTTGATGGATCATCTGCGTGTCTTCTAACAGCCCTACTGCGGTGTGTGTCTTTCCCTCTGTGGGAGAAAATCCTCCCCCAGCCGGTGGGGAAACCCAGGCAGCACATGAGCTCTTCCTTTCCTGATTATCCCTGCTCAGCTAGAAAGACTCTCTGGGGTAAAGGAGCAGAGCAGCATGAGAATCGGTTAAGTCAGGGCAGAAAGGAGTGGTGAGACCAGCAGTACTGGGAAGCTTGGCCCGTAAGATGAGGAGGCTCTGGAAGTCTGGCTTGAGGTTTCCTGGGACCTTTGCAAGAATAAGTCAGGATGCAAGGATGGGTCTGGTGGGGAGGAAGGATGAAGCATGTGTGAGGGACTCAGCCTATGGGATCCCTGCTGCTGGCTATGCCTAGTTTCCCTCAGCCTCCTGCTGCTGTTTGTCTTTGGCCACTATCTTAGTTATCTATTGCTGCTATAACAGAAATACCACAAGTGGATAGCTTTAACAAAGAGAATTTTATTCTCTCACAGTCTAGTAGGCTAGAAGTCTGAATTCAGGGTGCCAGCTCCTGGGGAAGGCCTTCTCTCTCTGTTGGCTCTGGAGGAAGGTCCTTGTCATCACTCTTCTCGGTTTAGGAGCTTCTCTGCACAGGAACCTCAGGTCCAAAGGACGTGCTCTGCTCCCGGTGCTGCTTTCTTGGTGGTATGAGGTCCCCACGTCTCTCTGCTTTCTTCTCTTTTATATCTGAAAAGAGATTGGCTCAAGATACAGTCCAGTCTTGTGGATTGAGTCTTGCCTCATTAACGTAACTGCCGCTAATCCCCTCTCATTAACATTATAGAGATATGAGTTACAACACATAGGAAAATCACATCAGATAACAAAATAGTGGACAATCACACAATACTGGGAATCATGGCCTAGCCAAATTGATACACATATTTTTATGGGACACAACTCAATCCATGACATTCCACCCTTTGGCCCTCCAAAATTCATGTCCTTGCCACATGTAAAACACATTCACCCCATCATATCATAGCAAAAGTCTTAATTTAACTCCAAGTCTGAAATCCAAAAATCCTATTCATCTGTGAAATCTAGAATACAAGTTATCTGCTTCCAAAGTACAATGGTGGAACAGGCATAAGCCAGACATTTCCATTACAGATGGGAGAGATTGGATGGAAAGAAAGGATAACAGGCATCAAGCAAGTCAGCAGAACACATTACATTAGCCCTCAAGGCTTGAAAATAATCCTCTGTTCTCTGAGACCATTTACACAGTGGCCCTGCACTCCAGACTCTGGGTGTTGGCCACACTCTCGCAATTTCTGCATGGAGGCCCCTCAGCCCTGGGCTTCAGCTCCGTCTTCCAGGCCCACTGGAAAGGCAGCCCTGCTCCCTTGGCTTTGAGTGGCTTCATTTTCTAGTCCATCTGACTGGCAACTCCACCCTTTGAGACCCCAGAAGTCATGGCCATACCCTTTGAGACTGAGGCAACTCTGCTTCCTGTGTTCTTGTCTCTTCAGCTTTTGCTTCCTGGTTTCTTGGCCTCTCGGCTCCTCAGGCCTCTCTGCCTATGTCTGCCCTGCTGGGGCAAGTGTTCCAAAGCTCTGTGGCTCCACTGATAAGTGGCTGGAGGCACCCCACTCTGCCAGTGAACTTCAGCTGGAAGGTACTTACCTCTCTTGCTCTGTGGATCGGCAAGCCTAGCTCCACTGTAAGTGCCTAGAGGTACCCCACTCTGCCAGGAAGCCTCCTACGCAAAGGCACTCAGCTTTCTCACTCCATGGGTTGGCTCCAGTGCTGTCTCGCACTGATCTCCTGGTTCTGCTGCTGCTTCTCGTTGTCTGTGCTGTCTCCAGTGTCTAACAGCTCTTTTCACTTCCTTCTGAGTCCTCACCAGAATTGTCTGGCATCTATAATTTCATCAACAGTCTCTTCATAGCAATCTAGGTTTTTACTATTAGGCACTTTAAAACTCTTCCAGCCTCTATCCATTCACAGTTTCAAAACCGCTTCCACATTTTTGGTATGTGTTAGACCAGTACCCCACTCTCTCGGTACCAAATTCTGTCTTGGTTATCTAGTGCTGCTATTACAGAAATACCACAAGTGGATAGCTTCAACAAAGAGAAATTTATTCTCTCACAGTCTAGTAGGCTAGCCAGCTCCAGGGGATGGCTTTCTCTCTCTGTCGGCTCTGGAGGAAGGTCCTTGTCATCAATCTTCCTTGGTCTAGGAGCTTCTCCGCACAGGAACCTCAGGTCCAAAGGACACGTCCTGCTCCCGGTGCTGCCTTCTTGGTGGTATGAGGTCCCCGTGTCTCTTATATTGTAAAAGAGATTGGCTCAAAACACAATTTTGTAGATTGAGTCCTGTCTCATTAACATAACTGCTGCTAATCCCATCTCATTAACATCATAGCTGTAGGATTTACAACCCATAGGAAAATTACATCAGATGACAAAATAGTAGACAATCACACAACACTGGGAATCATGGCCTAGCCAAATCGATACAAATATTCCTGGGGGGACACAATTCAATCCATGACAGCCACCTGTCTCTCCCAGCATGTACCGGAAAAGCTGGGTAGGGTTGGAGTGTCAGGGCAGCCTCCTTCCGGCAGACTACTGGGCTCTTACTTGCCAACCTTAGTAACTAAGGGTTTTAGACCTTTGCAGAACAGTCTTGGCTCATCTGTGGATATTGTTCTCTGCTCTGTGAACAGTGACCATAGAGCTCAATCAGGGGTCAGTGAACCATTTTCCTCACCCACTGGTTACCTGGGCTGTTCGTACCATCTCAAAAATTTTTTACAAAACAGACGAGGAGTCGGCCACCAGAGTAAGTGTTCATAGCCCAAGTTCAATTAATAACGGGGCCCCTGCTAGAAGTGGACCATGAGCCTTCCTAGGGCCATGGGCAGGCAGAACAGGGCTTGATTCAGAGTCTGATTGGAGGCAGCTGCTGCTGGCAGCTCCCATGCCTATTTAGAGCAGAATCTGGGCAAGAGCAGGCCCTGGCCATATTGGGGCTCTGGTTTTAGAGATTTGGCCAGGGGAGTCTGTTAAGGGAGCTTAGAAGGCCTGGCAGCTATTTAGTGGTCTCAGGAAAGGCCTGTGACTGTGGTAGCTCCTTGCCACTGGAGCTGTGTGTTGTCCAGGCCAGAGGCTGAAAAGTGGAACTCTGTTGTTAGCATCCCTATGGGACAGCTTGGGTCAGTAGCCTCTGGCAGGAGCCGTTAGCCTTCTGAGGAGTATATGTCTCACCCATTGTACCTGTCACCTGATTTTATTGACTCATTGCCTTTCTACCCAAGAACCCTGGAAATATTTTGAGACCATTTCTGTGGAGCCTGGCTCTGTAAGGGCTACAAATTTGTCCAGTGCTAAGAATTTCCCCCCTCCCAGGCGCAGCACAGACAATCTCCTGGGTTTCTCCCTGTTAGCCTAGCAGCTGTCAAGCCTGTTGTTTGAACTCTGCTCTTCCTTACTTTCCTGCCTTATGCCTCTCACCCCTTCCTATGTGGCACGGATATCTTTGCTAGAGGCTAGAAGTGAGCCAGGTGAAAGGAGGTTATGTCCCTCAGGCAGGAAGCAGTCTGGTGGGGTGTGTGTGTTGGCCTGAGGCCAAAATGGGCTGACAGTGCACTTATTCTGCAGGTGTGTGACTCTGACACTGTGCTGGATCCAGCCTGTACCATTGAGATGCTTCGCGTCCTGGAGGAGGATCCCCAAGTAGGGGGAGTCGGGGGAGATGTTCAAGTAAGAAGTAACCAGGGGCTCCTGGGGGTGAGGGGATCTGGCCTCTTTGTGTCTCTTAATCCAATTGGATGTGCCTGAGAAATGGGCATCTTGATTTCCTAGTATGCGGGGGGGGGGGGGGGTGTTCCCCTTTGAGTTTTCACTGGTATCAAAGGGCTCACTTGCTACCCAACCCCTCTCCTGCTCTTTTTCAACCTGAGGGAAAAAAATCACTAACAGGTATGGAGAGGGCCTATACGACTGTAAGGGGATAGTATTTTACAGCCATGGATCCCAGACGATGGTTCCATTTCGGCTGGTGGTGCAGCAAGTAAGCCAGTGGTGTCCCTGTGGTAGCAGGGCATGAAATGAGGCAGGCCAGCAATTAGCTCCAGAGTTAGACCCTTGAGAAGCCCTGCTGTTAGGGAACTTGGGCTGAAGACGTCTGGGCAATATGGAAAGAATTAGGAGCCATTATCTTCTCCAGAGATACTGCTGGCAACATACCGTGTCTTCTTCCCTAGAAGCTTTCTATCTGCAGAAGGTCAGGACCCATGGCTGAGGGGTTGCTTTGCATCTTTCTCAAACTCTGCTCTTTGTCACCACCACAGGCTGCCTCCTGAGATTGAAGGTGGCTTTGGCCACTAAAGCAACTGAACTGGGAAAATTAGTGCAGATGACAGAGGGGAAGGGGAGCTGGTGCTGGTGCTGGGGAGAGTAAATGGGAGTGGTTGGCTCCTCTGAGCCTCAGGTTTCCCAGGGCTAGCTGGGCTAGAACTGATGGCCAGGAATTTAAGCAATGGGCCACAGAACTCATGAGGTAGGCAGACCTCACGAGTGCTCTGGTCTCCATCTCCTCTGGCTGGCTGCAGAATGCGGCTTATGTCCTCAGGGTGAGGCCCAGCATCTCTGGTTCCCTTGCAGATCCTCAACAAGTATGATTCATGGATCTCCTTCCTGAGCAGTGTGCGGTACTGGATGGCCTTCAACGTGGAGCGGGCCTGCCAGTCCTACTTTGGCTGCGTGCAGTGTATTAGTGGGCCCTTGGGCATGTACCGCAACAGTCTCCTGCAACAATTCCTGGAGGACTGGTACCACCAGAAGTTCCTAGGCAGCAAGTGCAGCTTTGGGGATGATCGGCACCTCACCAACCGAGTCCTGAGCCTTGGCTACCGGACTAAGTACACAGCACGCTCCAAGTGCCTCACAGAGACCCCCACCAAGTACCTCCGTTGGCTCAACCAGCAGACCCGCTGGAGCAAGTCTTACTTCCGGGAGTGGCTCTACAACTCTCTGTGGTTCCATAAGCACCACCTCTGGATGACCTATGAATCAGTGGTCACGGGCTTCTTTCCATTCTTCCTCATTGCCACGGTCATACAGCTTTTCTACCGTGGTCGCATCTGGAACATTCTCCTTTTCCTGTTGACGGTGCAGCTAGTGGGCATTATCAAGGCCACCTACGCCTGCTTCCTTCGGGGCAATGCAGAGATGATATTCATGTCCCTCTATTCCCTTCTCTATATGTCCAGCCTCCTGCCGGCCAAGATCTTTGCCATTGCTACCATCAACAAGTCTGGCTGGGGCACTTCTGGCCGAAAAACTATTGTGGTAAACTTCATTGGCCTCATCCCTGTGTCCATCTGGGTGGCAGTCCTTCTGGGGGGGCTGGCTTACACAGCTTATTGTCAAGACCTGTTCAGCGAGACAGAGTTAGCCTTTCTTGTCTCGGGGGCTATCCTGTATGGCTGTTACTGGGTGGCCCTCCTCATGCTGTATCTGGCTATCATCGCTCGGAGATGTGGGAAGAAGCCAGAGCAGTATAGCTTGGCTTTTGCTGAGGTGTGATATAGCCCCCTGTCAGGGCGGGAAAAAGTGCAATGGATAAGGGAGGGAAGGGAAATGAAAAGATAGGGTGGGAGGGAGAAGGGAGTGATGTATTTTAATTTCTTAATGGTCTAATGGACAAATCTGAAGTATAAAGAATGACTACTGCAGTATGGCCTGGGGCAGCTCTGCCTAGAGGAGGCAAACAAACTCCTCAGGCTAAGGGCAGAGGGGGGCTTGTTTCCAGGCTGCCTGTTGGCTTCTGCACACAGGCAGTGGACCCTAGGAGAGATTTCCACTTCCTCCTCCTAGGATCCAGAGGCAACTCAGAAGTGTGCTAAACCAAACACTAAGTTCTATTCAGTGGCAACTTCTGATGGGTGAGTGAATGACAGCTTGTGGGAAGGGTTCTCCTAGTCCGTCTGAACACACCAGAGGAAGTAGGAGAATTCCCACTGACAGATCTGGGCCAGCTAGTAATGCCCACCCCCCTCACCTCCATCTAGTCATCAATGCAATAAGATTGTGCCTGAGATACAAGGCCCAGAGGCCTGGTCTTTGGGCATCAGAAAACAGGGTCCAGGAATGGTGCTTTATTGTGTGATATACCCCACCCCGCATCTCAATATCCCAGGGATCAGCCCAACCAGACGGGTGTTAGCATTTACTGGCTTTTAAACATGTACATATATGTATGTTGAAAAGGAAAGTGTGCCAGGGGGAGCAAAGAGATTGTGGTGGTGCTAAAGGCCAAGAGCTATATGGAGGCCTTGGGCTGAATGTGTTCCAAGTAGAAGCTGCCCAGACCTAGCTTGTCAGTGATCTCTGTTGGGGAGATGTTTTGGTCATCTACCAGGAAAGTTACACCTCACCATGCTCAGAAAGGAAGTGAGGTCTCAGGTGCATACATACTCCTGAATTCCTCTCAAATTCAGCTCTGATCTGGGTGTAAAACAGCCTCCTTGATTCACTTCCTTCAAGGGTTATGTTTCTTTGGCTAACTAGTCACCTCTTGCATCCTCATCACAGCTAAGTTTTTCAAGATAGCAACTGGGGCAGAACCTGCGCTTACAGGTCCCTCTTACAATAGGCAAGCCTGCCCTCAGCACATATGGGAAGCACTATTAGGAACCTCTGGCCGAAACTGGCTGCAATCCTGGGACTGCTTGGACAGAGGTTCTTCAGCAGGTGGTTAGCATGTGTGGCTTTCAGTCTACAGTTCATGACGATTCTCTCCAGCGAAAAGCTTTTCAGCGTTCCCTAAATGAGTCCTCAAACCCAGGCTGCTCACCTTTGAGACTGTCCATTCTCAGTGACTTCTCCACGGAATTCTTACAGCCAGGTTCTGGAGTCATTATTGCATTTGCTTGCTTCTTTCCAGAAACCACACTAGGAGATGAACTGTTTCCTAAATCCTGAGGTTCTTGCTTCCCCCTCTCATGCCTCTTGAAGCTACTTGATTCCAACTAGTCTTTCCATCTGCTTTTTTGGGTGTTGGGGGCGGGGTGGGGGGAGAGGCATTTTCTAGTGATTTGCAATCCAGACTATTTTCAGCTCTTGAGTTTGAAAGCTGGGATCTTAGGATCTTAGCTTATTCTCTTTTCAAACTTCCATTCTCAGAGGGGCCAGTTAATCCCTCAGAACCAGCACTAATGCAGAGGGTAGCTGAGGGGGCAAGTCTCTGTTGTACCCAGGTGCTTCCTACAAAAGAACGAAGTGTACTCTGAGCCACAGATGGGCAAACTCTGGTGCTTTCCTTCATCTCCCACGAACTCAAGGGATTTTCAGGTGCAGCTAACTGACAACACTGCTTGGTTGGTATCGGGCCCAACCCATGAAGGCTGGGAAGCAGCAGCAGTCATTTGCTAAAGGCAGTTCCAGGCTCTTCCGTGTTTTTGCTGGCCAAGAAGTAAACTATTTTGAGCGCTACAATGGAGGAAATCCGGTCCGCCAACTGCAGAGCTCAGACTTCACTAAGGGCTTGTTTTTCTTCAGCTTTTACTTGAAGGTTAATATAGGAGATGGGCTCCAGATGGACAACTCCTGGCTGTCCTACCATCAGCTCTGCCTTGCACTGTAGTTAACTTTCCTCAGATCAAAAGTAGGCAGGTACAGGTAGTAGGCTTACAACTTTTGACCTCGACTGGTTTTTCTAAGTTATTTTGTACATTTTTTCAGCAGCAAAAAAACCAAACCAGGTCTTCAGCTTTATCTGTTTCTTGCAAGGGAAGAGCCTTTATACAATTGGACACATTTTGGTTTTTCCTCATTTTTTGAGAATTTTAACCCTCTTTTGTATTATTTCTACAGTAATTTGTAAATGTATTTATTTTTACCTGTTTTTACTTTTCAGGTCAAATTTTTTATACTACACTTATTTGTCAAAATAAAGATTCTCATGTAATGCTGGTATTTCTGAGTTACTTCCTCCCTCTTTGTACTTTATAAAGCTAGCTCTTTGTTTCAAAAGAGGCACTTCAGACAGAAACGCAGTTTTGTCAAGGTAATTTCAGTGAAACTCGAAAGAAGGATAAAAGTTGTCACAGCTGCCTCTAGATCTGGGGAAGACAGCAGGCCCACCTTGGTTATAACTTCACGCTAATTAAGGTGGCTTAACTTTTATTGTAGAGGTGGGCAGGGTCTATTGGTAAATAACTGGCAGATGAGGGAGCCAACATTAAGGCTAAAAACCAAAACTTGCTTCCTCCTCAAGTGAAAGTATTTTACCTAGCAAATAATATAGGATTATGGCCAAGCTAGAACAATTAAAAGCCATGGGTAAATTTCCTTCTCTGTGAGACAGGTAACAAAACAGAGTGACATGAGCAGCCCTCTCATCCCATTTATTAAGGAAACAAACAGTAAGAAAAGATAGATACAACGCAGGAAAAACACCAACCGTCCTTTCACATCAGGCTGAACAAAAGCACAGTGATTTCTCCCCTTCACCCCACCCCCCTACCCCAGTTCCCACATCAGTTTAAATTTTGAGGTTCTTTGATTGGGGTACCAGTGGAGAGAGAGCTGGATGAGCAGTGGGGCCTTAATTCTGGCCTCCTCTAAGTCCCAGGAGGAGGTCGCCTCAGGCCCAGTCAGTCAGGCAGAAATTGTATTTGGTGGGTCTCTGAAGTGGTTGCCCACCTCCCTGTTCTGTGTTCAAGTCCCCAGGGAAAGGTATGGCAGTAGAGGATGACCAGGTCCAAGCCACCCAGGTCACAGCTACCGAAGCATGGTCGGTTCTCCAATACGACATTTCTAAATAGCAGTGAGCAGATTCTCCAGTAGTGAGCAGGGCAATATATATGAATTGGGACTTGCAGGCCAATGCATCCCTGAGGAAAAGTCCACAAGAATAATTCACAAAACTAGTAAGAAACAAGGGGCAGAAAGCCATGGGACAAAAGCACAGCAGGCTTCCGCAAGGCTGGAGATCCTATCTCTTAAAGCCAGGATCATTCCCACCCGCCAAAGTCCATGTCCCACAAATAACATTTCACCTTCAGTGAAGGAAGAAGCAGAATTTGAAAAATATGGCTCATTTGAACTTGAGCCCCACCTACGTACTTCAGATCACAGCTCCGTATCTACCCTTTTACTTAAACCACAGCCCCTGCCCAGAACCACAGTGCCTGGACACCAAGGCGGTCCTGGAGGAAAAATGTTGTTTAAGGGGGTAACATTCCATTTGGGTACATTGCAGCTATTGGACCCCCTGGTCTGGGGAAAGCAGCTGTGTTTGTGCCAGGGAGGCTCCCCACTCTAGGAAATGGGACCAAACTCTTGCCTGCAGGGCCATTCATCCTTGGAAAGGAAGCTGGGTTTAGACCCAGGGTCCCAGTTGGCCTTGCAAAAGGAGCTGGGTTGATACCCACAGGGCCTGCTGGAGAAGTGCCCAGGGGCCCAGCAGCTGACCTGGGAAAAGCAACTTGACCAGGGCCTAATGGGCCAGTAGACCTTGGAAAGGTAGCTGGACTTGGACCCTGCAGGCCAGTGGCCCTTGGAAAGTTAGCTGGGTTGGGACCTAATGGCACAGAGGCTCTTGGGAAAATTGCTGGATTTGAGCCCTGGAGGCCAGCAGACCTTTGAAAGGTAGTAGGGTTTGAAGCCAATGAGCCAGAAGACTGAGGGAAGGCAGTTGGGTTCAGTCCCCCTGAACCTGTTCCCCTTGGGAACGGACTGGCATTTATCCCTATAGGGCCAGTCGGCCTTGAGAAAGGAGTTGAATTAGGGCCCATGGGGCCAGGAGCCCGTGACATGGGAGATGGATTTGGCCCTGAAAATCCAATTCCCCGAGAACCAGGACCCGAGTTTGGGCCTATGGGGCCAGGTACTCTTGCCATGGAAGATGGGCTTGTGCCCATGTTACCAGAAGCCTGTGAGAAAGAAGCCGAATTTGCTCCTAAAAGGCCTGCTGCTCTTAGAATGGGGGCAAGATCTAGGCCTTGAGGTCGAGCCATTCTTAAGTTAAGACCAGATCCTGTGCCCAAGAGACCACCACCTGCTCTGGCATCCAGATTAGGGCCTAGACCCAGGCCACTCACCCTTGGGCTGGGCCCAAGGCCTGGGCCCAGGCCACTTGCTCTTGGGGTGGGCCCAAGGCCTGGGCCTTGAAACATACCTGACCTGGGAGCAGGATTTGTACCTAAGAAGCCTGATCTCAAACTGGGACTTGGTCCTGGGCCAAGGCCAACTGGCCTAGGATTGGCAGGACCATTCCCAGAGGTCAAAAGGACACCTGTTCTCAAGTTGGGTCCAGATCCAGGGCCCATGGGGCCCCCACTTCTAGGGTCAGGACCTGCTCCCAGAAGGCCACCTGTCCTTGGATTGGACATAGGCCCTGCACCCGGGAGACCTCCTAACCTTGGGTTAGACAGAGGCCCCGGGCCTGGAAGAGCCCCTGCTCTAGAATTTAGAGCTGGGCCTGGGCCTGGGCCTGGGCCTGGGCCCAAGAGGCCACCTGGCCTTGGGAAAGAAACTGTGCCTGTGCCAGTAGGATTCATCCCTCTTGGAAAAGAAGCCATACTTGGGTCACGAGCACCAGCAGGGAAGGGCGCTGGATTTGAAGCCAATGAACCTGATGGAGTTGGAAAAGGAGATGGATTCCTTGGAAATGGGGCCATATTTCCGCCAAGAGAACCAGCTGCCATAAGGAAGGGATCCGAGTTCACGCCCAGTGGGTGGCCTGTGTTCAGAACAGGACCCCCTTGTGGTCCCAGGGAACTGTCGAGCCGACCTCGGGGTGGCAGTGGAGCACGAGCCCAAGGAGTTGGCCGCTCTCTAGGGAAAATCCGGGGTTCTTTCATACTTTCTTGGGGACGTTGGTGATAATGGGCTTGGGGCGGGTTTTGAAAAGGATCTTGTTTTTGATGAGTGCTGTCACCAGGTACCGGGTGCCAGTCTCGCAGCCAAGCTCATCACAGTCCTGCTCCCCAGGTGTGTGTTTGACAAGGACAGCAAAAGGTTTCTCCAGGTGGATGATTTTCCCATACAGGATATGATGTCCCACGATCAGCACAGGGATTCCCTTTGGCAGAACAAGAACAAGACGCTTGAGATTCTGGGTGAAGTCCTAACACCCAGGTGGCCTTCTGAAGCTGCTCTTGGCAGGCAATGCTGCCACCTCCCTTCCCTGGTCTGGCTCTACCACTGTTGAGCAGCCACTCTGGACAACCCACCCTTCTGCCCTTTTCACACTTTCTAGCCCCACATAAGAGAATTTCCACTTTTAGAAATGTGATCCTTCCAGATTCCCCAAAGCTAAATTTCCCTGCTACTGCAGAGATGGGGGAGGAGAACAAGCAGATAGCTCAGCAGATTAGCTAGACTTTGAATAACAAACCTGAGGGCAGTCCTCACTCTGGGTCCTGGGAGCACCACCTTGGTGTAGCTTGCTTTCCTGAGGCATTATGCAGGGAAAGAAAAGCCCCCTCACCTCAGTGGTGTAATGTAGGTCTCCCAGGAGGTTTCCAGCTAATCCGGTGCTGTAGCGAGCCTCGATCTCCCCCTGTAGCTCCATCAGCACCCATTCTGCCAGGCCTCCAGCCCCAGCACTGCAAGCAAAGGGCTGGCGGTTACAATATTTTTGAAGGGTGAAGGATGAGTAGTGTCTTACACCACCATTCAAGGCCCAAAGGAACTCTTGGTTGAGCACAATTTCTTGGGAAACCGGGCAATACTAGGCACTAAACTAGAGATTGAAATGCAAGGATTTGTGCGAGATGCACCTGAGGACCCTGATTCTTCCAGGAAAACAGCAAACCTATATAATCCTAATCATTCAAGCTAAATGAACAAGTCTCAAAATGTACTCACCTGGAAATAACAATTTGTACCATGAGCTTTCTGTCTTTAAAAAGCAACTGAAAACAAACTGGAGAGAGAGAGGAGGGGAAAAAGATTTAGGATATTAATAATGATAGCAAATACTTATCACTGTGTGCCAGGAAAATTTCTAAGTGCATTAGCCACGTCTTCTCGTTTTATTCTAACAACCCCATAAGGTCTAAGTTTTGTTAGTGATATTGTACATATGCGATCAGGTGACTTCAGATCACCAATGGTGATCCATACCACAGTATGGAAAATTAACAGGCATCCTAACTGTGCTTAAGATCATGTAGCTAGTAAATCAGAGCTAGGATTTGAACCTAAGACATATATGTACTGCAGAGCCCACACTCTTGACCACTATGCTAACCTGGGTTTCTCTACTCTGTATATTTCTTAAACATGAAGGAATTCTTTTACTTTTTTCTTGCTTTGGCTGTTTTACATTCCAAAGTTCAAAGGGGTTCCTTTAACTAAAAATAAAGCGAAGAAGAGAACTGAAAAAATCCTTCAGACAACTTTAGTGAATGGTAACGTGACTTCTGATGTGTGTCATCGAACACTTTGACCATCTTCCACTTAAATATGAATACACCGCAATACGTAATCAACTTTTATTTTATACAACAGCACCACCTGGTGGCAAGTCTGGTGTACTCTCCCCTCAAAACAATTGGCTTCACTTGCACTTGTGTCTTTCAGGGAAGGATAGATTCATGGGGGGCTGGGCGGTAGGTGATCTAAACTGCAGCTTCTGGCTAAGCCCTTTCAATGTACACAGTGAGTCTAGAGCAAAGGTTATTAGTCCAGTATTTACTAACTGTAATATGGAAAGTTAATAGGTATTTTAATTGTGCTCAAGTTTAACAAATATCTGATTAAACAGTTAAATAGGTTTACTTCTATGTTAGTATTCGCTTTGGGAAAAGGAACTCCAGGGAAAAGCATTTTGCAAGCAGCCTTATAGGACAGCAGAACCTCTACTCCCAGAGCACCAAACACACTTTGGGAATATGGACTTGGTCAACTCACCGGACTTCAAATTCAAATATAAATAGCAGCTACCATTTATTTTACTATGGATCGAGTGCTGTGCATATATACAGGTAATATCTCCTTCAATCATCAAGACAACTTTATGAAATAAGTACTTATCCCTGTTTTGCAGATGAGGCTACTAAGGTATACAGAGATTAAATCATTTGCCCTGACAGATAAGGAGACTCCACCACTAACTTGTACGGAACCACCAAAAGCACTTTAAAATCCTTTTCTTCTAAGGTTCCTTGATGGTGAAAGGGTAACAATTTACAATCAGGAGGCCTCAATTCAGGTTCCAGCATGTAGCTATGGAGCTCTTTACTGTGTGATCATGCACAAGTCACTTAATGATTATGGGGCTAACACCTCTCTTATCTGACTCATTCAACTACTGTGAAGGTCAAATACGACATATACAAAAACGCTTAAATACCATCAAGTTCTATTCAGATAACTTATTTTTTAGAGGATGAGACAAACCAATCAGCCATTTTCAGAGCATAATTATGACCGTAACTTAAAAGAATGCTCAGGACATTTTAACCATGAATCAAAAAAGGCCCAATATCACTCGTTTCAGCAGCGCATACACGAAAATTGGAACAACACGGAGACAATTAGCATAGCCCCTGCACAAGGACTGCAAGCAAATTCATGAAAAATAACTAGCAATTGAAAAGTTGTGAAGTTTCTCAAGGTCAATAAATGCATATAGATTGAGAAAGGGTTCTTGTAAATAAGCTTCTGATGATTGATGAGGCAGTGTATTTTCCTTGATGGATATAAGTTATAGTAAAATACAGCTGGTTTTAGAGAGGCAACCCAGGTACACGAATGCCTTCTCAATCCGTCCTAGGGAGATCAGTATTTTTAAAGTTAATGACTTAGAAGGCAACACTACTCTCTGGTATCAGAGCACTAGCAGGAAAAAGAGAAAAAACTACTTTCTGATCACATGCTTGAGATGGGTATGTGTGGACTGTTTAGGGAAAGAGAACGCACAAGTATTTCAGTGCATCCCCCACTTCCTGGACAGTTTCCTGTTAGAATAGGAATTTGGAACTGTGGCCAAGGTTGGCCAAGGAAAACAGGTGTCTGGGAGCTGGGACAGAGTAGTTACACTTGCACACCAATCCTTGGTGCTTCAATGAGCACACATCTTTACCCACATACATGTGTTCACATGGCAGACATCTAGTGATGCCACTGCAAATAAGAATTCTGTGGCCCGCAGTCTCACATTTCTGCTGCTGCATGCAGTCAGGATTCTCTTGTGCTAGACCTACTGGGATGCTGTACATGTGTACACGAATGAAGGAGCCCAGCCTACAGGAGTCTCGCTCATAGGAACCCGTGGGCTGAACTGGCTACATTTATGCATATGAGGGTGTATTTACCAAGTTAGTAAAAAATGTAGCGGAGGGCATCCCTTTAGTGAATTTAAAAACTCTACTTTATCACTTTGAGATAGTCTCTAATACCTAAATTCTATTCTTCTTTTTCTTGCTCCTTGGGATTACCACTCTAGGCAAATGTTCTTAGGGCTAGAGTAGGTAGGTATACCGGGGTACTTCACCAAGGGCACACCTGGCGGAGGTAGCAGGAACCATGTATTTCTCTTAGTGCAGAAATAATTAAAAAGGATCTGAGAACATGCAGCCTAATCTGTCCCTATCCCCTTGAGAGTAGGCAGAAACAGTAGGAAAAAAAAAAAAAAAACCAAAAAGAGGTAGAGAATATAATACAAGTCAAATCCTAGTAGTAACAGCATGTAATCTTAGTGGTAACAACAAATATAACATTAAAATGAAAATTCTCTGTATAATGAAGAGATTTCTAAGTCTTCAGTCTCAATTCACATATTCTAAGCAACACTAAAGACAACTAGAGCAATTCTAGGTGTTTGTTCTAAGATGTGGCTCGTGTAGAAATTGTACTTCAAGAGCAACATTCCAAGGCACCGCATGATGAACACACCATCAATTCATGAACCTAAAAGGGAGTCAATGGAAGAGCCCCTCCAGCACCTCTCTCTCTCAAGAGACTTGAGTTCGAACCCAGATTTGACTAGGATCAACTAATTTGTCTTTGGTTAAGAACAATAACTCCAAGCTGACAGTGTAACTCTGGAGCCTGGGTGAAATTTCTGTGATGTAGCTTTTCAAAAGAATTGTTTAAATTCATTGTTTCAGAGTGGTATCACTCTCATAGGCCACAACTAGAGTGTCATCTTGAAGACATGGGAAGATGTGAAGAAAACTAATCCGCTCTCCCCATGCAATGAATTATTCTGTCCACCCCCACTCCCATGCCCTAATCTCAGAAGAGGAGGAAAAATGGTTTCTATTCAGTTTTTCTGGGCCTTCACATAACTAAACAAACTAAACAATATATAAGTTCTATATTCCTAAATTAGTCAAATGACTTTAGTTCTGATCTGAAAAGGAAACATATTTTAAAGCACTTTGCAAATTTTAATCCGTCTTCCTAATCTTTTCCATTTAAAAAAAGCCTTTCCTGTAGCTTCAAGTTTTCTTGAAATGTTACTTATCTAAGTTTGTCCTAGATCATCCCCAGTCTTAAGACCTGGAGTTTGTTTGTAGGGCTTGGGTAAAGCGCTGCATCTCAGGATACTGGTCCAAATGACCTCTGAACCAACCATAGGGCAGCAAAGGAACGGCATTCTCAGAACTAATCCAGACCCACAGAGGGAACCCTAACCAAAACCTAAAAGGTCTGGCTGGAATCAGACCAATCTGGGATGCACTTTAACTGCCATTTGGCTTCTATTTCTACTTTAAAGTTAGTAACTACTAAATTATAAAGAACTTGAAAAAAATCAAAATGCTACATGACTTAAGAAGGTAAGAATTCAGAGCATTATCTTTACAATAAATACCAAAAAAAAGCTCCATTTCTCACATAGCTAGACATCCTGACAACCATCCTGTGAGATGGGCACTGTTTTTATCATTCCCATTTTACAGGTGAGAGAACAGAAAGGCTAAACATTGAGTAACCAGTCCAATGTCACACAGCTAATAAGTGGTAGAGCCGAGATGTGAGCCCTCTCTACAATACTGCCTCCCTTGCAGTCTCTCACAGAGCTCCCTCTCATACAGTACTTCTGTAAGAAACCTTCTGGTTGGCTTTACAATTATTATCATAGCATCTCTTACGAAATAGCCAATAGGTAATCTACCGGGAAGATTTTACAACTTGCTATCAAAGTAGCTATTACATCTATGGGGCAAGCAGTTAAAAACAACCAGTAAACCTGCTATTTATCATATCCAATTGATGATTCTTAGGTTTTTGAAACATCCAGAACTATCACTGCTAAGATTTTTTTTTTTTTACCCTAAACCTCTGTTCCTTAGTGTAAGGAAAAATAAGCCAAGAGAATAATGGACATTCTTTGTCATAAGTTCATATTCATTGACCAAAGCTAATACTCTTATTCTCTGGTCTTGGAATTGTTAAAAATTAAGGTAAGCAACGTCTTTCAGGAACAATATTAAGGAACAATGTAAGCAATAATCCACATAATGGTAGCTGCTCCCAAAATAAAATGTGCTATATACCTAACTGTAAAGAACATATAGCTTTTAGCAAAACAAGGGGCTTTGATCCAACGGTTTAACATAATTACAACTAACTAAATTTTACGAGAGCTAAACAATGTTTCATAAATTGTATTCATTAGAACTCTTTAACTCATCTTGGATTTTAAGTTTTTTTTTAAGAAATCAAGGCTTTAACTTTCCAATTCTTAATTTCAAAAATCATTACTTTTTATTTAAACGTGCAACACGCAATATGTCTGCAAACTGTTAGTCCAGTGCATTTATTGAGCTCTTATTTTGGCCCAGGGACTATACCCATTGGTTAGTGATACAGTGAAGAACTCAAGTTGTCAGAGAGACCTGGATTCTGTGATTCTGCCATTTACCCTGTATGTGATAGGAGATAATTTATCCTGCTTTGAGTTTTCCAGTCAATAAATTGGGCATAATAAAAGCTCCTATCCTAAAGGGTTGTTGTGAGAATTAAATGCAGTAATGAACGTAAGCCCTTAGCACAGTGTCATATACATGGTAAGCCTTCAGGGTCAAGCCATTATTATTATTACCCAGAGGAATGTGGCATTTTCTTAATACAAGTGTACTAGAATGTCTTCATACTATACTGTATAATTATTATTTTAGTGTTGATAGTGAACCAAACATTCTATAAAAGCAGCAGGTAATCAGAACAAAATCAAGTTTAGATAATGTGAGAGTAATTCAAACGTGGCAATCAGGGTTCACCAGACAGCTTCAGGGATTAAGTTCTGGAAGGTCATTTCTCTAAATTTGACTATTTCTCTGTGCCTTTCCCCCAAGTGAAGAATTCAAGAAATTTTATATACAACTGAATACACATTATTTTTATTAGCAGTGTTGTGGTTTTGTAACTGAAGGGGATCTTGTCTTCGACAGGCTTATGTCATTAAGTGCTAGAATTTTATTTCTAAATGAGAAGTTCATTTTCCTCCAAAAAGGGGTTATGGAGGGTAAGTGGAACTGAATGCTTCCAAACTTTTCATTAGTGAAGAGTGTGTTCAAAACCGTGTGTGGATACTATGCATACACGTGGTACTTTCCCATTACATTTTAGGACTCCCATGTTGAAGGGAATCAATTACTGGCATTTGTAGACAATGGGTGGAAAAGATGACTTCAGTCGATTTGAGTTACTCCAGTTTTCTCCATCTTCTGCTACTCTGCAGCTTTTCTCAGCCCTTCCTCCTCTTACTGCTATGGTGCTCTACCTTCCCCAAAGCGCCCTCCTTTCTAGCCCTGCTTGGGGTCTCCCTCTAAACAGCATTCTCCTCCCACTGCACCCCAACTTCACCACCCTTTCCCATGGCCCCCTCCGATCGCATCAGCGAGGATCTACAAACACTTCCTCCTATTTCTAGTCCCTCCCACTTTCTGGGACTTCTCAATCCGCCCCCTCCTCTTCTCCAACCCCACCAAATTGCCCCTAAAGCTTCGCTGGGCCCGCTTTCCAGGCTGTTTAACCCCTTTTCCTAGCTCCCAGAGAAATTAATCTTTAAACTGCCCTCCTCCACACCTCCCACCGGAGTGGCCTTTCAAATCGCTCACCTCCTCCCAAAAATTACTCTTTAAACGTTCTTACTCTGCCATCCTCATTCTCCAAATTATTCCATTCCCCCTTCAATGCTAAAGCACTTCCCTCCTCCAGCACCCCACCCAACTATTCTCACGTATTCCATTTCGCCCACAAAAAAGCCTGGGATCACTCTCCAGACTGTCTCTTCCTTCCAACGGCTCTCCAAATTAACTTTCCCAGCAACCTCCCACCCCATGATTTAAAATGTCCCATCAAACAAACCTAACAGTCCTGCCCCGCCCCCCACCCCCGCCCCAATCCCACGAAGTCTTTCTGTCATCCTCGCTACTTCCTGGGTTCCTGTTCCACCTCGCTCCCGCAAGCCTCGCGTGTCGGGCTCCCATCCACCCGGTGAAGAGTCCCTGCCCGCACATACCTCGAGGTTCCGGCCCGCGCCGCCCCCTTCTCCGTCCTCCGCCCGCGCTCGCGGCCACCCTTTCCGCCCTTCTGTCGCTCCGCTCCGCCCCACTCGCTCCCTTCCTTCCCTCCGCCTTCCGTCTCCACACCCCTCCCTTTCCCCACAATTCCCAGCCCTCCCATCCCGGGGGCCCCTTTGGGGTCGCCCCAACCTCTGCGCGGCCCTCTCCTCTTCCCTCCCCCCTCCCAGCCGCCCCTCCGCTCCCCGCCCCTCTGCTAGCCATTCTTCTACCCGAGCCGCGCGCCCCGCCCGGCCCCAGCTCCCTAGCTCCCCGCTCCTTCGCGCCTTCGCACCCATCCCCGACTTGGCCCTCGCTCCTCGCAGCCTCCCGCGCCCCCCGCCCGCGGCCTGACCTGCAATGGCGGCCGCCGAGCGCGGCGCCGCGCGGCCAACGGGCGACAACCGAACCTCCCGCCGCCGTCGCCGCCGCCGCGAGTACTGCCTGCGCACTTCCGGCCTCGCGTCGCGAGCACTTCCGGGGTAGAGCACGAGAGCGCGCGCGCACGTGGGCCCGGGGCGGAGAGTGGTGATCGCGGGGCCGCGGTGAGTTGGGGAAGGGGTTTTGGAAGCGTGTAGTGACGGGGGGCTCGTTTGAGGGGCTGCGGCGGGTACAAGTTCCGCGCTCAGCGGAGCTCGCCAACTCCTTGGTGCCGAGACAGGATGGGGGCTATTCCACAGACCCCCAGAGAGGGAGAGGGCGGCGAAGACTTGCGAATCTTCACACGCCCTCGTAGCCGGGCCGGACCGAGTGCGCCTGCTTTGCGTGCTAGTTCCCAGCCTTGAAAGGAGGCGAGCGAGTTGCGTACTAGCTCCGACCCTTTCGCGCTGTATGTTTGTTGGCAGCCGGTGGGGTGTGTGTGTGGAAGGGGAGAAATAGTGACAGAAGCCAGAGAGTACATCTACAGTAAGTCACTAAGTCCTGTCGCTCCCTCCCGGTGAGGAACTCGCGTTTCTGCTCCCCTCCCCCGTGTCAGCACGCCCGTCACTACCTTAGTTTGGGTGTTTGATTTGCAAACTTAAGCCTTCTATAGAGTTGGGAAGAGGTGCTTGGTAAAATGCAGATTCTCTGTTCTCCCGCCTCTCTCCCCCGAAGATTGGAATTCTGGAGTTGGAGGTAGGACTCCAAAGCCTG